TCCCTTCTTAAAATGGAAAAATAAATTGAAGACTGAGTCCTCCAATCTTTTGTTCTGCAGCCTCTGTTCTAAATGAATGGAAAGCAGAGGCTTCCCATTCAGAAACTATTTGATTATCCTGTTTCTGATTGGGGAGGAGCCTCTGTGCATAGTGCTACTCCCCATTGAGAAACTCATGAACAGGAAGTGATGTAAAGCACTTCCTGTTCATTCATAACTGGGGACACATAGTATTGTGTCCCCAGTTATTTACAAACACGAGTGATCAGCTGATCGCTCCAGTGTTTGTCCTGCACAGAGGATTGGTACATAACACTGATATGTACCGATCCTCTGCCACGCACACAGGGGCTCAGCTTCTCCTCTGCATCTTCGCTGCTCTCCCAGGCAATGGTGCACCTGTTAAACTGACATTCTAACACATCACACTATCTAACCAAGAAGCTTTGTCTCTAGAAGAAAAGCTACAAAATTGTTGCAGGTGTTGAGTATAAGCACCTAAAGCTGCAGTGTGGGTTTTTTTTTGTTCCAGATTAAGACAGGGTTTCTTTAAAGCTAAACTCCAGACAGATATGACACAATTCAACCTAGTTATGTATGCATTGGAAAAAACATAATAATCCCTAAATGTATTTTTACCTAGAAACCGCATAAATCTCATATCTCGTCTTTTTTGCCCAATCACAGGGTTGGGGCAAGGAGGTGATCAAGTTGTTTTCCTTAACTGCAGTAGAGAAAAGTGAGGATGCCAACTGTGGTGCTTTCTGGCGGTGTTATCAGCGCTGGCTGGACAGAAATACACATGGGTTTTGGGAGATAAAAACATTCCCCTTTGTGTATTTAACTATTTGGGTGGATCTGAGCTTACAGCAAGGTTATGAAACCAGGAAAGTATGCAATTGGAACTGCTGAACACTAACCTCATTATCTTACAGAAAGATATGGTCAGTGGTGAACAACATGGACATCAACTCCTAATTCTAGAGGTGATAAACATTAGGAAAGTCTGAGGAGGATATAGGCAGAGGAAGTAGCAGAAGACTGCACAAATGACAGAGGTGATACTTGGTCCTAGAGAAACATTTACCACTAACACAATTGTGGGCATAGTGCATGATCAGACTGACTGGGCACAGTCATATACTGTATTTATATTACTCATACCGAACACTCCCCATAACTTAAACAAGCTACTTAAGTATGTAGTCAGCTGTACAACAGCTCTCTCGCCTGTTTGAGGAGGCGTCTGCATCCAAGAAGTGTTGCACTTATCTTCAGCTTCTGTGTTTTAAACAATAATATGCCCACAACCTGTTAATCATGGCTTCTCGCAGTAACTGCAGAAGAAATCTTTGGCTAACCATATATTTGGTTAAAGAGATTCCAGACAACATATTCAATACCTGTTATCGTCACACTGACCAGTCAGGTAATAAGCAATCCAAATTTCAGTAGGTGTAGGTTTTGAATGGTCTGAGGGTATATTCCCACCACAACCAGAAGGAAATCGCAAGTCAATGGAAGGTTCATTGACTTGAAATGGTACCTTCCGATTTTTGATCTGTCGTATTGCAATCAGTTTTTCAACAGATGCTATGGAGAGGGCACTGTAAAATGAATGGGTGTGAATGGGGCTAGTTCACACTGGATTCATTGCGTTACATTGTGCTGAACAAAAGTAGTGCATGTTATACTTTTTCAGCGCAACGTAACGCAATGGAGCCGAGCAGTGATAACAATCCCCAATCACATCCATTCATTTTTTTGGTGCCCTTCCATTAGCATCTGTTGAAAAACTGATCACAACAGATCTGATGCGCATGTGCCCTAAAAGTGGGCAGAACTTGTGAGAAGTGGGTGTAATCTTTACCAATATGGATACTCTGATGAGTTTGGTCAGATGAGGCTTCAAATGGACAGTTTTGTAGCAGATATCAGACCGAAATCACAGCTTTCCACAGGACTGAAAATCATCCCATAATGTATAACAAACAATATTATCAATGTGAGGAGGGGAGAGGGCACCTGGAGTCACTGCCAATTGCCTGCAACACTAGAACAAACATGTCCAGACATTTTTGCAAAGGTCTTCTCCTTCAGAGGAACATGCACTCCTGCTATAGGCAGAGGGATACATGCCACTGCTGACCTCTCCATCAGAAAATGCTAGTTGCCTGGCCAACAAGCTGATCTAATGGCAGCAATGCATTTTGACCCACTGACCACAGAACAAATATGCAGATTTCACTTTCTTGGCAGCATATTTGTTCTAGGTGAGTGAGAAAGTATCGGTCAGAAGCAGCCATGCAACTAGCATTTCAAGCAATGGAGTTTAGAAGTGGTTGCCTATATACGTTTCTTGCTACAGATTTGAAAGTAGAACATTGTATCGTTTGGGCTAAAACAAGTTAGTGTTAGACACACATCAGTAAAACCCTGAGGTTCTATGTTGTTTTTCCTGTTTGTCACCCATTTCCTTTCCTCTCCCCCCTGCCCTTCCCTTATCTTCCCTCCCTCCCGTCTAGGGTTGCCACCTGTCCAGGATTCATCCGGACAGTCAGGGTTTTGAATGCTGTGTCCGGGTTCCATGGCAGCAGAAACCCGGACACGAGATGTCAGGCAGACAGGGGCAACCAAAATTAAGATAGGGGCTGCTGGCAACCCACTAAAAATAGTCTCAACTGTGATATTTACTTATGAATAAGCCACCACTCTTTCTCCCAAGGAAATGTCCGCACATGGCTAGAGTGTTCGGGTTTCGCTTGAAGAAAGGTGGCAACCCTACTCCCTTCTCTTTTTCTATATATGTTTAAAAAATATCCTGATCGTCTGGCATTATCGATTGTGATGTGGGAGGTGCTTATTTTTGAGGCTGATATATAAATTCTTTTTTTTCGGTATACTAAACATTAACTTTGTGTAGGTGCTCGTTTTTCCCATCTCTGGGGAGACAGGCGAAGTGAAGACTGCATATGCGCCCCATGGCCTCTGGGTGGAGACATAGATCTGTATGTGTCTCACCTCATAATGTCACTACAGAAACCATAGACTTGCTACATAGTTCTGGTCTCGTTTTATTTACTTTAGCTATGTATGCTACCTCTGCCATGCAACGCTGCACACACCGTCACAAATGAATCTGCCTCACGATCTGGTATTGTTGCTTCTATTTATTCAATATATGTCGGTTTCTTTTGATATAGTATTTTGTATTGAGCACTTCATATTGATGTGTACATTTTTAAACATTGCGTTTTTCCCGCCATGATGACGTCATGGGGAGGTTACAAAACTCTCTTGAAGGGGTATATAAGTAGCTGTACTGATATACACTGACTTGTTACATTGTCGCCCTGATGAAGGGATCCTGTGCAGTCCCAAAACGTCGCTATTTTGTACATGACAATTGACGATTGGTCCGATTAAATGGACATCAAAGATATTTATTGAGTGCTGGTGATTTCTGCTTTCCACTGTTTGTTGCACGGTGCCATCCGTGATTGTCACTGCGAGCACCACTACAAGTACTTGGGCCAGGAGCGCTGTGAGGAGGAGCAGAGGGACTTACTATTTTCTATGTTGGAAAGATTTCCCCTCACCTTTTTGTTCTGGTGTCATATACTGTAGGACAAAAAGTAAAAATATCCCATAAAAGGGACAAAGTCATCAGTGAAAACGGTTTGTGGATAATGGTTAGAGCCTCTTAGGTTTTTATGGCTTTCTGTGTCACTGTGCTACCTTTACTTCCTGTCCCAGTGACTAGTGTCACTTTATACAGGAAGTGAGGGAAAGGTCCGCGCAGCTGGGACACACAGCAAACAACCTGACGGCGCTTCTAACCTTTCCCCACTCTATACAAAAAATAGAATAGCTTGGAAAGCTGCAGGCTCCAAATCTGTCTTTCTGAACCTGGAACAGGTACCACATGGCACATTCTGCAAAGACATGTTGGCAATGACCTTGTCCATGGTTCAGGCCTTTCAGGTACCAGATGGCACATTCTGCACCTCTTAAAGACATGTTGGCAATGACCTTGTCCATGGTTCAGGCCTTTCAGGTACCAGATGGCACATTCTGCACCTCTTAAAGACATGTTGGCAATGACTTTGTCCATGGTTTAGAAGATCTTTCAGGTATGTTAATCGTACCCATGTTAACTGCAAAAACAAGGTCAAGAGTCACAATCTGCATGAGCTGTTGTATTGTATACTGCACCTATAGAAAATAGGGCAAAGCAACTTGTGTACCATCTTGTACAGCTAAATCAGGCACAAGCATGACTTGGCAGCCTCCATGGTTTAGAAGATCTTTCAGGTACCACATGGCACATTCTGCACCTTTTAAAGACATGTTGGCAATGACCTTGTCCATCGTTCAGGTCTTTCAGACACCACATGGCACACCCAGCACCTTTTAAACACATTGGCAATTACATTGTCCATCGCTGAGGCCTTTTAGGTGCCACATGGTACATGGTACATTCTGCACCTTTTAAAACACATTAGCAATGACTTCGTCCATCGTTCAGGGTAACTTTAACATCATTCAGTTAAGAGGTAAGATAATAACAAACACACATTCTATGTCTCACCTGTGAAGCACTGTCTATTAACAGCAAAGATTTTATATATTTATTTAAATTATACCCTAAATCAGAGTAATCTCAGCCACTATTTATAATCATTCCCGATATATGCTTTATAAATTAAAAAAAATAAACAAAATACATAAATAAAAACAGTACAGTGTGATCGGGTTTCCTATGTTAATCGTACCCATGTTAACTGCAAAAACAAGGTCAAGAGTCACAATCTGCATGAGCTGTTGTATTGTATACTGCACCTATAGAAAATAGGGCAAAGCAACTTGTGTACCATCTTGTACAGCTAAAATCAGGCACAAGCATGACTTGGCAGCTTTAGATTAGGTCTATAGGGTGTCAGGCTGTCCCATTCTGAGCATTCTCAGGTCATAGACAAGTCTTTTGTGCTAATCCAATCTTCTAACACATATTTAAAGATGCTGGATTCTGTAAACATGAAAATTACAATCCGAAAAGGATTTTTTTTGGCGGTGGAAGTGGCACAAAATGAAATAAAATTTGGAAAATATATTCTTCTATTACTATAGGCGCTATAGTAAAACGATTATCTGTACAACAGATTTTAAGAGCAAAGCGTACATGTGCAGAGAGAATATTTTACAGGCCTCTAAGGATAACATGTCTTCTATTGCCAATATTATATAACAGCATATAAGGCTTTCATAGAACAGGAAACTGGCACTCTGCTTATATAATAGACACATGTCCTACTATGTGTAGAGCAAGGGAGATAGGAAGGGAAAGGGTTATGCTGATAGTCTATTGACTTCTGATGGTAGAAGAGGTTATCGTCATCAAGATAGGAATGTTCATCCTGGATATTACTTAAGGGAGAAAAAGCTTGAGGAGCGTGGTGGAGGTGCCAGCAACATTGGAGCCTGATTCTTGTGTGTGATCTTAATCTGAAAGACAGAACATTGTGATCACTCAATGAGCAACATTCAGGGCCACTTCACATCTATAAATCAAATGGTGAAGGATATGACAGTATTTGTGCTTTGAATGGAAGGCTGATTAGCTTTGCTTTGAGGTCATTCTCAAGCAAGCAGTGCAAAAATAAATCTATCAACAGTGCAGTAATTTAAAGCAATTTGATTGAAGTGTCTGTGGTCAAATCAGTTATAATGAGTTATGATAGTTGCCTTGGGTTACAGTTACATTCTCATTGCTTCTAGCACTGCTCTTCTGAATACACATGAATGAGTCATGCATAATGATGGTACAATAGGCTTCTAGGAAAATTATACTAAAGCAGGTCTATAAAACTCCAGACCTGAATTTTGGGGAACTGTAACAGCTTCAGAACTATTTCCTTCCTATGGTTTCTAAAGGCAGTAATGCATTATTACCGTGCAAGGAGGCTGCATCCAGGGTTCCCCATCAATCTGCATTGGAAGTGGCTTTGTGGTTCTGCAAATAAAAATAAAAAAAGTTTATAAAATGCTGGCCCAGCTAATCTGTATATTGTGCTTGAATCATTTATTTGTTCAATTTTTACAAAGAAGCTATTTAATACAGGGAACACGATGCCAATTTGCTGGTTTGTAACACAAATTACAAGATTACAAATACATACATTGGGGGGAATGTATCAAAACTGGAGCAGACAGAATCTGGAGCAGTTGCCCATGGCAGCCAATCAGCATTGTTCTTCAGTTTGCTCAGGTAAGATTTGAAAATGAAAGAGAAGCTGATTGGTTGCCATGCAAATCTGCTCCATATTTTGTCTGCTCCAGTTTTGATAAATTCCCCCCAATGTGCTTTTCTTCTGGAGATGTGTCAGTTCCTTATCCTTTAACTATAAGCTTTTGTAGCCTATATTAATATATCCTTTTAACACATCCTTAACACACCCTTTTTTCAGGACAAATCAGGCTTTCATGTGGAGCCAAACATTTTTTTATTTTTCTTTCTACTAGGGTTTAATTAGGAATTAGTAAAAAAAATGCAATATTTGGCCCCAGATGATTACCCCAAAATGAAAATCACAATATCTTCTAACTAAAAGGCAGTGGCAGTGTTGTCAGCCCATTACAGGCGTCTTGGATCTGGCTTTATTTCCAGAAGGGTCATTATATATTAGTACTTGTAGAACTTTGAAGGAAACATAGCATGGGAAAAAGAGTATGTATTGGAGAGTTGGGCTCAATAGGTTTGGCCACCCATATACTTTAAAGTGACACTAAGCTCAGGGATTACATTTTAAAAATACATTCAAGTACCTTCACTATTAACAGAAATGTATCTTATTTGTGTATCACTCGGCTGTAGATCTTCAAGTCATCTCTGAATTGGTGCTGACACTGTCCTTCCTTCTGGAGGGTGGCTACTTTTGTTCCCCATGGTCCCTGTGTGTGTTGTAGCCAATGCTCCAAGCTCGCTCCCACGATGGACTACAATCTCAATACAAATTAGTAAACTAATCATGAGATTGTAGTCCATCACGCAATGCATTCACATGTCATGCTAAAGGAATACAAATAGAAAGGACATTCCGAAGCAGAATGGTGTGCGGACAACATATCTCCTAGGTCGTACATTGTGGCGCCATCCACCAGTTGTTTCAGCACCCGTTGGATTTTGGGGTACATCGGAACGGTGTGCGAAGGGGATATGACAAAGACATATCCTATAGGACCTAACATGAATGTACAGTAAAAAGTCCTACCAAGTGGGCTTAAAAAAGTTAGAACATAAGAAGCAGCACAGTAAGAACATTTGGGGTTGCAGAAAGGGTGTAGAGAGGAAACAATTGGACTAACCAGAGAAAGTGCAACAGACACTGTAAATAAAAATAAAGTCCCTTTAATAAGCAGAGGTGTCTCTCCAATGTACCCCTTTAGATTACCATATATACTCAGAAGGACCATCTAATGGCTGATTGCCAGTGTTGTCGCTGTCATGTTATATTAAATTGCCTACACATGTAACATGGATTTAAAAGGAAGAGCAGCAGAGAGAAGGGAAACAATCATGGATTACAGTAATTCGCACATTACAGTATTGGTTTATGTTAAAAAATCTGAGGGTTTAATGTCACTTTAAGAACAATATACATTCTAACTATTTTAAAACTCACCGAATAATAAGCTCTGAGCATTTGGCCAGCCGTTTTCTTGCGCTTTTCAGTCCAGTGTAAATTTGTCCCATCTCAATGGCACTCTCAAGCCCCACTACTTCTAGCCTCTTATCACTAAGGTCTGTGGAAATGAAAAAAAAGAAAAAGGAGAATGGTAAATTAGCAATATTATACCCTGGTCTAACTAAGGATGTGACAGCCATACAAGTTCAGAGTCAAGCTTCAGTTTTATTCAAACTTCAGTTCCACATGAATATATCCTAACATAGTCCACATAATGGACTTCATATACTGTATGTGGTCTAACATCATTGCAGACCTCGTTCTGAAAATGCTAGTTTCCTAGCTGTTATGCTGACACACTGACATGAATACTTCTTTGAAGTCACAAACTTAAATGTTTTGTGCAGGTCAGGAAAGTCAGAGTGTAGTCACAAGTCCTCATCTGCACACTTGTTCAAGGTCAGTGACTCAAACGTAATGAAGGAACAGGGTCAGCATGCCAACCAGGAGACAAGCATGTTCAGAAGGAGATTAATGGCAACCTCTGGCTTTCTTCTTTTAAGTCCACCCACATGTCTCCCTATTTTTAATCAGAAACACTGATTTTTAAAAAATTCCAATCATTTAGACGGCCTTGCCATATTCAAGACCGCTGTTGTAGAAGATTCTCTCAAACAGGTTAAAAACATCCTAATACATGCTTACCAAGTACAAAATTAGAGAGGGCAACATATTTATCCCCTCCCATGCCCTTGTACCTATTTTTCCGTCTCACCTTGAACACATGACTTTAAGGCCTCGGGATCAATAATGGCCTCTGGTAAGTTCTGACAGGAAGCATTTCGAGCTTCTCCCAAAGGTTTCCTGGTCTCTCCCCACAGATTGGAGCCACCATGCATGCTGGGAATGTTAATGACAGCAATGCCTTCTAGGGACACAGAACTGAGATCCAAGGGGGAGCCACAACACTTAAACAGATACAAAAATAAGTATGAGATAAACAATATAATACAAGCAATAGTTTTAACAGACAAATACTGTTTTTCCTGCTAGTGGTACAATGCATTGGTTTCCATCTGGCATTTATCTTCCATTTATAGTCTTTCATTATGTAAGAATCCCCAAAAAGGGAATGCTTTTAGGGACGAAGAAACCAGGTGAGTAACCACAATGAGATATAAACTAAATATGAACAGACTATATTGTGACAATCATACATACATGTAATGAATAACAAAGGTGCATGGGAAAACGCTCTGGAAACTGGGTAACAGAGAGCAAAGCAGAAAGGCACAACATAGAACAAATGAAATACCATAACTGCAGGCTGAGAAATGAGAGAATGCAATCTAGGCATCACAAACAACAAGGCTAGACATGGTATAGCCTGGAACAGGATACATGAGGGGTCTGAGCATAAGCGGAACAAAGTACTAAAGCACCATTCTAAACGTAAGTTGTGGTTTTAAAACCTCCAGCAAGGTGCAGCGGCTGTATATTAAAGGTCCAGAATCAGCATAGAGGCACCCACTTATGACCCCTGGAAAGAATGCCAGATGGAAACCAATGCAGAGAGCCATCAGCAGGTGAAAGTGATTGTAAATGACCAGATCTTACAGTAATCACTACTGATGCAGGTACAGGGGATTGCTTCTGGTAGACATTACTATAAACAATTACCTCTATTGTTACATCATCTCTCAACTTCTTACATGTAGAGAAAACCGTTTCTGACGTTGCAAACTCAAAATACCAGAGTTTATTCTTCATCCTACCAACAGAAAATAAAATATGCTCACTGGCCATTCATTTATTTTATTTTTGTTTATTATATTTCTATTTAGATTTTAAAATATGGCAATACAGCGACACAGGTAGTTTTTTCTTTCTATGACTTCTTTACTTAAGAGAAACGCATCAGGCATAAAACATATAAAAGGCACACTGGGTAAACTCATATCAGAACAAGGTACAGAACACTGAACAAACTTGTAAGGTTGTAATATTGTTAAAGTTGTCTGGCAAAGGAAACAGAGGGTTTGGTGGCACTATGCTGCGTGAGGGTTTTAATTTTAGGAAAGGGGAGAAGAAGAAAAGAGAAAGGAAGGAAATAAAAGGCGGGGGTGGTGGTGTTAGGATAAGGAAGGGAATAAGGGGGGTGGAAGGAGGACGCACAGTGTGCACCTCAATGGTGTCACGCGGACTCACGCCACCCCAAGTTTCCCCAACAGTGTAGCAGAAAGGGTGTGGTGGCCTGATCATAGTATAAGGTGGGACATTTTTTTACGGAGACAAGAGAACTGCAATCCTCTACATGGGTGAACTCCAACCAGTAAAACCAGGTGCATTGTAATTTCTCATCTTGTTTTTTTTTAGGGCAGAGGTTGGGTCCTCCATAGTTTTAAGTTCTTGAATTGAGTTCTTGATTTTTGAAACAAACTATTGCACTATGGAGGGTGGAGCAATTTGCTTCCATCTGAGGGGATTCGGGTTGTTCTCAATTACAAGATACATCTTTGGCACCCCCTCCCCCACCAGTACCCCATATTTACCTGCTGTTAAACTTCTCAGGATATTTCTCCCTCATAACATGGAAACGATGTGCAATGGAGGCATCCTGCAGAATGGAAACATTATAAGCACTTTCTGAAGGTTAAAGGTTTCTATAAAGCTGATTAATTGCTTGTGTAGTAATTATATTTTATTAGAGATTAACAAAGAAAATATTAGAGATGATTTCTTATTTAACAATTTATTTTATTGCATTTGCTATGTAATATAAAAGTGAATTCTGCTGTATCAATGTCAAGCCATTAAAGAAATTGGATATGATCACATTTATTTCCTTGCAATCAGTTTGCATGCGTAGTAGTAATAATAATTATGTATTAATATTTCTTAGGCAAGCTGGGGGAGGGGGTTAAAATAATTAGATAATTTTTAGTAATGTCAAAGCATAGTCAGATGTTTGTTTCTATTTTTAATGAGAGTCTTGTTTTGAGAATGGAGTCTAACTATTTTCAAAGCTTGTGTTTGTCTCCAAAGTGTGAGCCGGAAGTTTTTCTACAAACTGCTCCGATATGAAAAAATACTGGCTAAATGGGTGTGCTTGAAGCATTCGTTGCTAATCATTTTTCTCTTTTGCTACTGCGTTAGACAGCAATAAAAATTAAAAAAAAAATTAGATAATGCAATTGTGTCCAATATAGATTGAGTTATGTGTGATCAAATTAATCTAACTTTAGGACAGCTCCTAACATGGATTATGAAGGTACCCTATTGGGATTTGTATTCAAAGCGAAGGTCATTAGTGTTCCCATTTTATAAAATGGTGGCGTAGTACAATTCATTTATTCATTTTTATACGTTTAAGATGGGTCATCTTATCTTGCAAGAAGCCTAGTGTATGAAAGTATGTGGTTATGACTTCTTCCCATTTATCTGTAGCCATAGAAGGTGCATCTTCTCTTCATTTATACCCCTCCACTCACCCACTAATGCTGAATGGTTATCAATTACGGTCAGGCACCGCTTTCGAAAAATTAGACAAAACATTTGCTTCAAAGCTACTCGTGCAGTTACCCTTCTTTTGTTTTGTAATAGCTTTGACTTGGAGATCCACTAAAGGCAATAAGATTCTAAACTACAACAAATAATTGGAGCCAGCAAAGTCAGCATTTCTTCCACATTTACGTTCTATAGAAGACAAATGGAATATACAGAAGCAGTTGGCGAAAGAATACTGGTCCAAAATTCCTGTAGAGAGGTATAAGAAACTCATTGATGGTTACAGGAAGCCATTGATTTCAGTTATTTTTTTTCAAGGGCTGTTCTATCAATTATTAATTGAGGGTGCCAGTGATTTTGTCCAGTCCATTTTTTGAGTTTTGTGTGGAATGTGTCGGATTTGGCTTTTTTCTCTCTCTACTTTTTTTGTGCCATACCAATACAAACAAAAGAAATAAACATGAGAATGCCTAAATATTTGTAATTACAATTTCTACACAAAGTGGTGCATTATCTGGCAGAAATGCAGGGGTGCCAATATTTTTGGCCATGACTACGCTCTATAGAGCGCTCCATTTTATGTTAATGGTTAAATATTGTACTGTAAAAAGAAAGGTAATATAATTCATACCACTCCAATGGAAAAGTAGTTGTTGATTATCTCATATGGGACAGGATCTCCTTTTTCGTTAGGATTCTCAGGTGTGACCTCAATGTTCCATCGGTCCATTAAAAGAATTGTACTGCTTTCAATGTCCTTTAAAACTTTAACTAGATTTTCTCCATCATACCCTGTAAATAATGAAGCCATGAACTGTGTGTTTAATGGCAAACTGCTCATTTAGCATACCATACTTTCCCATTCAGCTTACAAACTCAAGTCTTTGCTGTAGTAATACTCCCCAATTCATCATATTTCACATGCAGGAGACTGACAAGTATATTCTTTTTCTACATATTTTCAACTTTGTTTTTCTATTAGGACCTTAACAAATCTTACAAATATACAAAACTCCTGTACTGTCCTAGATCTGCCATACTGAGAAAAAACCTCTATTAAAGATGTGTAGGTGAACCTTAACGATATACTTCTCTTTTCTGCTCCCTTTTGGTCTATTAAATACACCATTGTAAGCTATAATTGTTATTACTAAGGCCCCTTTCAAAAGAATGGTGTGATCAGGTCCGTCTCTCAGTTTTTCAGGCAGGTTTGATTTAAACCCAATGTTAGTCTATGGGCAGGCAGATATAAATGGGCATGGGTCCGTTTACATCTGATTGTCTCCGACTCCTTCCAGGTCCAGAGAACAAAATGGTACTGATTGTGATGGGAAGCGGGTACTTTGATGTAAATGGACACATGTCCACTTACATTAGACTCCCCATAGACCTAACATTGGTTCCGGTACGATCAGTTTTTACCTCCATCGTAAGATGGAGGAAAAAAACTGGACAAACACAAATGTCATAATAATGACATCTGTTTTGTACTGCTCCAATCAACATGGGATCCCTGCACAAATCCCCTGCTGAACGAAACCGACAGGTGCCCATGTGAAAGAGGTTTTAATGCATTAATAACAGAATCACCAGGTGAAAGAAAAAAAAAAGACACCAGAATGGTAAGCTGCAATTTATTAATTTTTTGTACTTGGATTTAGATGTACTTTACGTGGTCAATAAGGTAGCACAAACGCAATATTTTTGAGGGTATTAAGTCCTGAGCTGCTAGTACGTTACCCTTCAATTGCAGAGTAAATTGATAGGAGTAGTCATTTTGTATATTTATTGATTTTAACAGCTCCTCTTCAACTGCATTTTAAAACAATATCCTGATTTTCAATTGGACTGTACAATGGTTGCTAATCAAATCTAGGCACATTATTTAACTTTTTACTTTATTAAAGTGTACTTGACATTCCCAAAGGAAGAATTGATAACACAATCCTGTAGGCATATTTAATGTTGTGGGAACCCATACTAAAGCTATTGCATTTAACTAAACCAAATCTATTCTGTAAATAAACAAAAGGACATAAGTATATTGTCACATGCTGGTAACTCCATGCAATAAATGCTAGATGAAATCATTTAGAGAATATAGCATGTGCCATGTGTACCTGAATTCATCACAAATCTAATCTCTCGTCCACAAGGGCAAGTGGCTGGATTGTTATGCATGCAGCACATGGCACAATATACAGGACTCACCTCCTCCCCATCTTAGACATCGTGCTAGGTCATTCCCAGTACCCAATGGCAAGACAGCTACAGGAGGCCTTTCGGGAAGATTGGCTTTATCTAGGAAAAAGTGAAAACGTTAAAGAGTAAAAAAGTCAGTATTAATAATCTTTATATTTACACAATCCAGAATTAAGCTATATCACACCACCTGTCTCATACACACTAGAAATAAATATGCTAAATCACCCTGTACACACACACATACATACATACATACATTATTATATATATTATGTAATGGGGAAGACCATATTTAGGGAAAATAGGATACTCTAAATACATTCTATAAACATCCTCTCCAACTCTCTGTGTTTATCCAAACAATATATTTTGAAGAAAAATATGGAGGAATATTCAAATACATTTCTGAATGGAGGGAGAATGCTTTAGTTCAATTAATGTGTACACAAAATAGGATAGCCTATACTTGCTTCTCTGAAACAGATCCTAAGCTAGCCAAATGTTACAATCTAAATTGCACAATCATTTACATACAAGTGTAGCTTGAGGGCGTACCTAAAAAAATACCATTTAGATCCAATCAGGCAGGCCCATGAACTAAGTAAAGCAGATTGCATAATCAGATTGCAATGTTTATGCAGCTACCTTGGGAAAATGTTTGTCAGATACAAAAAAAACCTGATATTATTATCTCATACACAAAAAGTAGCTTAAAGATAAAAAAAAAACTAAAATGGTATAGGATAGTCAGAGCACTATGGATTAGCTAAGGAGACAGCACAGTAGATGCAGCCTGATTTGAGGCACAATTTGGCTGGCTGAAACTTCAATAAGGTATACATCACTAAAATGATTTAGTCCTATAAACAGCAGGCTTAATTATTCAAACAAAACAAGCAGAGAGCAGAAAAAGCAGCCTATGGCAGAACACTAAATATTGATAATAGTTTGAAATGTTTTATATTTTATTCCTAGGCATAATACGTAAATAATTATGCATAACAACACTATGCAGTACATCCCTTTTAAGTACATATTAACTGTAATATACATCAATGCTAAATACAATCTGCCAATCAGTAAGAACAATAATTATGTGAATATGGCTGTAATCACTTCAAACTTGGCCTCAGCCACCAATTTCATTCAAGCCTTTGGATTACAAATTATTAAAAGTTATTACCAATGGCATCCAAAATCCATCCGACTGTGCCATCCCCACCACACACCAAAACCCGGTAGATGGGAGCATCCCGGAAAAAGTTGAGCCTAGTGATAAATAAGAAGTAAGGAAAAGTGGTTATCATAGAAAACGGACCAACATTTGTTGGACATTACTTTGTTCCTTTACTCAAATGTTCTTACCCAGGTGCTGGACCGACCTTCACTAGGTTATAAACTTGACGGGGGTTCAATAGATACTGGAACTTGCGAAGAACTCTACAGATAATGATTGAAAGTGAACAATAAAGAAGTATGCCAGCATGTAAACTTGTCATACAAAGCTGCAATATAAAAGCTTGTGTCTCCACCATCTGGTCCATGAAATTGTCGCGCAACATGTTTAGAAATTCCCCCTCTTCAATCTTGTTCTAAAGGGAAATGATGTCCTACAAGCAAGGGCTTGCATCCCAAAACAGCAGAGAGCACTATAGGGATTATAGTAAGGTAGGCAAAAGAAAATACAATAACAAAATATCTGTTACAGGTTATTGCATGTCTATAGCCAGAAAAGTGTATACGTGCTGTAAGGAAGTGGTTTACTATACAATGTCAAGTTAAGCTGGCCATGCACTGGTTGATTTTCAAACCTTCATATGAAAAAAACTCATCAGAACATGTAATAATGCCATCAGAGATTTGACGAATGTCATTGAAAATTTCATTTGTTTTTAACATTTAATTTTAGGAGTTGGAATGGAGGGGTTAGGAATTGAGTTTCTAAAATGTAAACCACATTCACTGTTAGAATTTCATTGCTTTGAGGAACATTTTCTATCCTGCTCCTTTGATTTCTTTCGTCGATTTGATGTTTCATTTGACTTCATCAACAATTAGAAATCAAACAAACTTTCTAACAGCAAATTTTTTTAAAACAAAATTCCACTGGTGTATGGCCAGCTTAAGGGTTAATATATACTGTCAACCTCATTTAAAAGTACATACATTCACACACTACTCAGTCATTGTCCTTTCAAGAGTTAAAGCAGAACCTAATGGTAAAAGTAAAAACCTGTCTTTTTTGCTGAAGTAGTGACATACAATGTCTCCTCTGAAATAAATCATTCTTCCCTGCCTGTTCACAAGCTTCTGCAGAATTTACACTGAGCTGCACATTTGCAGGTAAGTGTACATTTCTGTGTGCCTTAATACTGGGATGGATGCTAAAGGATAATACTGGGATGGATGCTAAAGGATAAATTAAGTTCTGTCATCCCAGCCCAGACAATCAAAATGGCTGAGGATCCCCAACATGGAAGAAGCCAGGAGAAGATGTTGGCACCAGCAAGGGAGCTCGAAGACGTAACAGTGCTGGAGCAGAACACAATATAGGTCTGCTTTACAGAAACTCTGAATGGGCAAAGCAAAAGAGCCTTTGAAAGAACAAACCTCCACCCACCAATACTCACCTTTTCTGAGTTCCCCCTCTTCAATCTCTTTTAAAGCCAGGAATCCAAACCCCATATGTAAGCATATGTAAGCTATGTGTTAGTGCTCACTCCCTGGGCCTGGTGATTGGCCGCTCATGCCTGAGTACTGCATCCTGGGAGAAAGGGGAGGAGGTCACATTTGACCTCATAATCACAAGCATGTTTTTTTTCCAATGGCTCCAATTAAGCAAGAGAGTGGCAGCTGAGCATGGAGAGTCTCTTCACACTCTGACATAAAAAAAGGCCCATGTCTACTTTTATATACTGGAAGAATACTACAAAATATTACAGACTGGCTGTTATATGATGTCATTGTTGTCATTTGCTTATAATATATGGCCTAAATTGTCTGTTAGGTACTTAAGTACTTCAACAACTGAAAAGTGCACCATTTGTCAGATGAAATAATTTCTCACAGCAGACTACATCTTACCAGTATGATGACTCACCTTTCCCCCTGCTTTCCTCCACTCTTTGGGTTGACAAAGACAAGTAGTGGGTGTGTATCTAGCATTGGGACTATCTGCAAATACAATGGAACATGCACCAGAACAGGAATCCACAAACCCAGGCATACACATGTACTTTATAAACACACACAGAGAGTAAAGCAGAGCCCCTGGCCTTTTTACTGTAATAGTGATGAAGTGTCATACTATATATGAAACACAGTAGCCAAAGGTTTTCTGTCAAGGGGAAGCGTGGCCATTGAATTCAATGCACCGCCACGCCCCCTCCCGTCCCAGAATGCAGGGGAAAGCTTTGAGAGGGATTTGAGTGCGCAGCTACCGTTCTGGAACGCACTGCATTCGGTGTGAACAACCCCTAATAACATACATTGTAAACGTAATAATATAAATTGTTTTGCTGTATCTAAATATATTAAATAACCTCGGCACAAAGTTTTGCTTATGGGACATTTAGAACTTGGTACTGCATAGCTGCTGAGAAACATTAAAAGAAGAACTCTAAACACATTTAAGCAACTACATCTAAACTGAACACATAACCCCAATGCAATTTCATTGCATTGTCTAGCAATGTCTAGTTATGTTTATGCTGGCCATATATACCATATATACCTTTCAAGAATATTTAATTTACTTCAAACAAGCTTTTGACTGCATTAACTATCTAATGGATCAAAGCAACCTATCCCCAGCATCTTAATGGTTTTAAAAGAAAGAGATGGTGGTAGATTTCATGGATCTGGTTAGCGGTTTTGTGATTTAAAGCTGGTTGGATTTAAAGCAGGTGCAATTCAGGAACATAAATAAGCTGCACTCTTTTGGCACAATGAGATCTTTCCTCCCTGTGCTTCAAAGGTAAGTCATGATGGTTTGATGGTCAAGGTAGGCACTGACACAGCATAGCCTGCCCCCCTTTACATGGTGACCATTCCCCCAATAGGTTATATAATTAGCTAGACCTTAGAGCTTTAGTGTTGAGACCTGTCTGACAATGTACAACCTCTTCTTAAAATCTTCCCAATATCCCATTTTTTCCCCATGCATATCCACATCAAACATTCTAATAATTTCAATGCAAGGCCTTTGAAAATTTGTGCGCATACCTTCCATTGAAATTAGTAGTCTGAGGAGTGCATGTTTCGGGGGGTGAAGGAATCTGGCAAGTAAACCTCTCCAATTCATAGGATTAATTACTCAGGACAAATACTCAGGATAAATGAATTTCGATTGGTGACTATAACATTACTGCACTGTGCACACTAGTCTTTGCCTCACTCCGTGTGAGTAACAGATGTTAACATGTAAAGCATATTGTTGGACGGATAATGTAATGGTGCACTAAGGTATAATGTATATAATAGTTAGATTAAAGGTGGTTCTCACTCGAAGTGCTTGTCCCTCTGCAGCGCTGAATGTCTGTGATGTTTCGTCTGAAGAACCTATAAGGTTCTTCTGACTGTTCTGTCGTTCCTGAATATGAAGGAGAAGAAAACAGAAAGAAATTACATGTGAATGAAAATATATGTGACTGAACAAAGTGCACATAACTTTTGCGTAAAAAAAATGGAGGAAAGGAAATGAAATGGTGCATGTATTTGCAATTTCTAACCAGCATTACATAAATGACAGCTAAATTATGACATGTTTCCATAGACACCTACAGTTGGATTCAAAACCTCACTTGTTACTTTCCACTATTCTTGATACATATACAGTTCTATGCACACAGAGACAGTATAAAAAAATTTAAGAAAACAAATGAGAAAAAAAAGATTCTTTGAGAAAAGCACTGGCAATAAGAGGCCTATAACATTGATGTCACAGTGACAATGACTAATGTGTGCAGGTTAATTTAATAAGGTGATGCAAATTATGTCAACGTTGAACAGCATGCAGACAATCCTAACATATTTACATAGCATAACAGATTAAATTTTTTTGCCGAGACCAGTAATAGATGGTTTATTATTGGGTAGTGTAAGTCATGCACTTCTGTGTTGTCATTTCACTTTCCAATGCTTTATGAAATGCCCTAGCATTTGTTTTACCTACCAGAATTACTGGATAAATGGAAGAAGGAGGCAATATATGGTCACGTAGGATGCCACCATCACACTTCAGAGGCAACATGGAAACACATTCATCATGAGCCTAAAGTAAATTAAAGGGTTTTTTACAAAGGCGGCACTGTAAACAATTAGTTATACTTTTAGCACTATGTAACAGGTTTTCCATCTACCTTGTCCCTAGCAAAGAAATGTATATTGCAATGCAATGTATAAAGCAAAGAAATTTATTTTATGCCTATTGTGCAATTCTCCAGACTGTTCCCCTCATTACCTTGTAGCTTACTGTTTTTAATTGTATGCTTATGTAAGTAACTTTTACCTTTGATAGACAATCTGAAAATAGCAACAAGGTGATCTGCCAATTACGCAAGCTATCAGGAAAGAATGTCAAGGCATACCTTTCATCTCTTTCATAAGACAGTTAGTGTTGTGTAAGCTGCATAATACTGTTACAAAGCAGGAATAATTAACAGCTAAAATGAGAGCTGGACTATCTGATACAAAAATATTACTAAAAATAAGATTTACTCAAACACAATGTTTGTTAGGGCTGCTTGATGTGCTAGAGAGTTTAGTTATGCTCCACTATTGTTTAATAGTTATACTAAGTGAGTGCATTCATTCTCTGATAGTAAGGGCATCATATGGATTACCTATACTTAAGTCGATATGGGTCAGCACATTAAACACGTACACCAATGATTGATCTACATTTCAATCTCACCTTCAACTATAATATATTACACACATTAAAAGCAAGGCATATTGTGGGATCCATCTATGGCTATTAATGTAAAGTGCATGTTCATAATTGCTATCTTAAATCTAAATGTCCATATATTAATCTATATCTGTACTTACCTTGAAATTCAATAATCATTCAGTTACAAGCCACAATTTAAGAGTTACATGGTGCCATAGTTAACCAAGTTTAGAAGAACACATATCAATCAAATTCACCCTCTAAAAAACTTAGGCAAAGGAAGGCAAAATAAACCTTTCTAATAAAATCGATTCAATTTTGTCATCCAGTGCTTTTTTTTATTCTGTTCTTGACTATTCTATTGTAACCTCTTGCCATTATTACTGCCACTTATTAAACAGCCTTACTGTGAAGAACCTATTTCTATTCTAATGTAACATCTATCCCCTTTTTCCTTTGTATAGACACAGTTATATAATAAGTAAATAACCCCACAGTCATGTTGTGACTTGCGATTTTCAAACATTTCATTGCGAGACCTGCCTTCCACTTTATTGAGTTAGTTTTACACCCAAGCCTTCTCCAAATCTCAGATTACTTTCAATCAACACTAAACTTCAATATGTGTTATAATGTAGTTTATGCATCCTAAACTTTTAATTGCTTTTGTAGGTGCTATTTGGCATTGGGCGCTGCTTAGCTTACTATTAACCAGTATTCTGGTTTAAAGGCTTACATTGCTGGCCTCTCCTTTCACAAATACTAGTTCCTTTGCTTGCCCTGCCTTTAAAGGCAAAGAAGCTGTTCACTTTGCAAAGCAATTTGCACATTGGCAAAGGAATTGCCCCTTAGATTTGTGATTGTGTGGAAAATTCCCTTTGCAAAGAATACCCAATCATGTGCAAGGAATAACAAAAACAGTATTTTTGCTTGCACATGATTGGATGATGGAAGTCAATGGAGCTTCATCTTTTTCACTGAGCTAAGGGAAAATTCCTTTGCAATGTAACAGCCTATTTGCCTTAAAGGAGAACTATGAGGTGAGTGCTTTTCACTCACCTCATAGTTCTAGCCGACCTGTGACAATGAGACTGTCACAGGTCGGCTCAGTAGATCGGGAAGTGAGCGAACACATACCGGCGTTCCCTCACTTCTCGATCCTGTCACGGCCCTCTGCCGTGACAGGGGAGGGGCTGGATTCCCCCCCTCCCCGCTCCGATCCTCCAGCGTTGACTGGCGGAACGGACGTGGAGAAGGCGGGTACAGCTGGATCTGCCTCTAGATAGGCAGAGCCAGCTGTCACTCACGCAGCTGGGCGGATCCAGACATAATTGTTGTGATACGCTTCAGCTGCCGCGTCTCAGTATACCGCGAGCTGTAGCTCGCGGTATACTGAGCTTAGGATTACGGGAGGACGCTAGTTTGTGTCCTCCCGTTACCCTAAGGAGAACTATGGGGAAAAGCCCTAACCCCATAGTTCTCCTTTAAGTAAATCAACCCTAATGTCTCAGATGGCATTAGTGCAAGAAACAGCCACGCAACTAGTGTTTTTCACAAAAGGTCAGCAATGACAGCCTCTGTTTTTGCCTAACAGCAGGTTATCTTAAAAAAAAACCCTTGGGTCTGATTACTTATTGCATTGAATTTCTTGAGTATTGAGTTTAGCAATTATTGAGATAGTTTTACTTAATTAATTAGCATATATGCAAAGTGTGAGTTGTTTTTGTTTCCAAAGGCAACACACAGCTGAGCTAAATCTTTATTTTATTGGGGAAATAACCTATGGCTTTTGCTCAGACACAATGACATTTTCTAATACGTAAAGTATTTATGCAATCACTGTGAAAAGCAACACATTAAAAATAAAAACTAGGTTCATTTTAAAGCTCTTAGACCTGCAGTAAACACTTAGGGCAGGGTTGGGCAACTTCTGCCGTCCAGCTGTGCTTTAACTACAAATCCCAACATGCCTGTGCCTCCGAGAGTCATGCCTGTAACTGTCAGTCTTGCAATGCCTCATGGGACTTGGAATTCCACAACAGCTGGAGGGCCAGAGTTGCCCACCCCTGACTTAGGGGATAATTTATAAATCATCTGCGCCAACATATGCTGGCCGAATGCTGTTTGCACAGAATTCCGACTACTAGATGGTGCCAAGGAGAACATGCTGGGGTGGAAGATTTAAAAATCATGAAGTGTTCAAGTGAGCATGACCTCAAAAAGTTAATTTTTTATGCCTTAGGAACATTTAGAAATGATAAGTGTCCCTAAGCAGTACCCTGAAAATATGGCTTTTGTCTGGAATGTCTCCTGGGAAAATAGCAGTACATTTCCTGGCATGTGTCTAGGCATTCCTATGCATACACTGTCTCATAGTGGTATATCTGTAATGTACGACCCATAGCATTACTGCTTACTGTTCTGCTTGCTGGAGGCTCTAATATGAGGAAGCAAATCCCTGACTCTACCAAGATGGCCACCTCCACACAGTGACACAGCACAGAACAAGGCATGGTAAGTCAGTAATGGGGAAAGATCAGCTTCAGGGAGACAACAGGAAATCTTGCTGACTAGCTTTCCACTTGTCTTTATTATTTGTCACTTGTCTAGTCTTCCCACCTGTCTTTATTGGGCACAGCATTCAGAGCTCAGTGCCTCTTTAAAGAGCTCTCCAGGAATCGTGAAGCCTATGGAGCCCTTTCATGCAAATAGCAACTGTAGTTCCTTGAGTCACAACTTTTTTCCAATGCCTCCTACCTCATGCACCTCACTTCTGATCCATCACTATCATGGGCAGTCTCACTGACCAATAATGAGGTGTGAGATGTAGGAGAGGATGGGGCCTGGTGCCACACTAGGAATGTACATCACTGTTTGTATGTATGGTAGGTATGTGTTGTGAATACATGTCTGGCTTAGTTTTCAGGGCTTTAATCATGGGTTTCTTTTAAGACTGCATTAACACTTTGCAATGTTTTTATTAATACTGCAGATCCACTGTATGTGTTTTGATAAGCTAGTGTCCTCACCTTGACATGACACCAGACACAGCGTTGGCCAGTAAGACTCTGGAAACTTTTTATCTTTTTCTGACATCGTTCACACTTGCTGGCCTCACATCCACCTTTAACCCATATGTGAGTCTGTCCCTGAAGCGGTATAAGGAGAATTACAGTACATAGTGAGTACAGGCAATGTTCACAACATGTAATAAAGCATGCATATCATGAGGATAAAAGTATGAATGAGCTGCACTTACACTTGCATCTTTACGGGACTTGGCGTATGTGCTGATGCAGGTATTTGGTGCTTTGCGAGCACAGCGTTCATGCACAGTAAACTTACAGACTGTGAAATAAAAAGGTACATTACTTAAAGAACTTTAGCCCAAAATAACAAGATAAAATAACTAAAGCAGCTTTTGCTACAATATTCACATTTAATCCAGAGTTTTCCTCCAGAATATTATTTCCTATTACTCAGTCTATCCTCAGTTTGATGTCCAGTATTTTTCAATCCCCTCCCACTAAGTCCAGGTCATCCTGGACCTGCCCCCAACCTGCGACTGGACAGTGAAAGGAGAAGCAACACAGTGATGAGATCAAGTACACTGCAATACCTGCCTTTTGACAGCCTGCTACTGATGGGCTTCACCCTTATCTCTATGACTAAGCCCATGAGAGTAAAATGCATCAGAGGTTGGTAATCTGAAGGCGTGGCAGCAGTATGCATGTCAGAGCTGAATAATGTCAGCAGTGTGCACCTCTTTCATTACGCAGTATTGAGATATACAGAGCGTGTATGGGCTCTTAGTCCGCAACATGCCTGGACTGGGAAGCCTGAACAAGTGCAGAGCAGTGACATTCTTCCTTTTTCTGGCTAGTTGTTATATGTTATCTTTATATAGATACAATCCTGTTTTTTTCTGTCTACTTACATGTGCAGCACAGGCCTTGTTTCCTGACACCAAACAGCAATGCTTCACACACATTACAGTACACAGGTCGGTTAAAATGTTTGAGACGCCACAAATGTTGACCATCATCTTTAATATTCTGTGTAAAATGAAACAGTGTATAAAATTGTATCTTAACAGCACCAGATTTAAAAAAACATGCTTTTAAGGTTGTTGTAGCTTGTAGACAGCTACCGTACAACGAACCTGGGGCTCCCTGGTGGCGGAAATATGCCAGATTTTATGCTGTACAGCCAGAGGTGGCCTTGTACAAAAGCCCTTAGGGTTCAGTAACCAGCTATCTACTTACAACTTCCATTCCAAGCAGCACCAGTAGGGGCACTGTGGTGAGCCCTCCCTTAAGCCATTCCTCATAGGACACGGTTCCATTGCCATCATAATCCACCTGTCGCATCATCTCTTCCAGCATCTGCAGAATACAAAATGTGACCATACAATTATACTGGATGCACAAACTCATTTCATGTACTAAGTGTTTATATGAATTGTATTCCTATGTCAATCTTATGAGAATCCTCTTTATTTCATTGTATACCTCTCAGTTGTGTTAAAATAATTGTGCAGCGCTATATAACCTCCCCATAACATCAAAATAAATTAATGATTCAAAAGAATTTATAAATAATATGAAGGATATAGAAAACTTTCCACAAAAAAAGGGACGTAGAGATTAAAAATAGGAAACATCGGAAATATATAAGAGACATGTCAGATTTTAAACATGGGAAAGTATACATCATTAGTTGTGACATTAGTCTTAATGAACAGGAGATTAATGATGAAGGAGGAAACGTAGAGAAGGACCCTCCATGGAAACCCATTCATAATGGTAATAGGAAAAGGAATAGGGATATGGAGATTAACCTGCCTCCGACTACTACTAACCTAAGGAAAAATGCATCCAAATTTGGTTCAGGTATACCATTATCACAAAGGTTTCACCACCTTTTGACTCAGGATGATCCTGATAATACTGTTAAAATTTTACCTACCTATCAAAAAGGTTCTCCCTGGACTAATCCATCTAACCAGCATTTTTTGGGGAATCCCCACAGGAATTACCCCCCAAGATGAGGATCCCATAGGGGTTTTACGGAACACCATCAAAATATGGGATACAGACAACGAGGCCCTTTAGAACAGGGAAACCCCAGAATGCAGGGAATGGGGGACAGAGAAATTGGAGGGAGCACCTTCAGCAACAAAGGGGTATATTCAAGGACCTAAGGGGAGGAGAAGAAGGTGTAGAGGGGGGAGGAGGATACAGTTACAGAAGGGACAGAAGGTTTTAAGAAAGGGTATCTTTAAAAGGAGAACTATGAGGTGAGTGCTTTTCACTCACCTCATAGTTCTAGCCTACCTGTGACAATAAGACTGTCACAGGTCGGCTCAGTAGATCGGGAGGTGAGCGAACAGATACCGGCATTCGCTCACCTCTCGATCCTGTCACGGCTCTCTGCCGTGACAGGGGAGGGGCTGGATTCCTCCCTCCGCCAGTGCTAAACTGGCGGAACGGACGTGGAGGGGGCGGGCACAGCTGGCTCTGCCTCTAGATAGGCAGAGCCAGCTGTCAGTCACGCAGCTGGGCGGATCCCGGCACAATTGTCGGGATCCGCTTCAGCTGCGGCGTCTCAGTATACCGTGAGCAGTAGCTCGCGGTATACTGCGGCGTCTCAGTATACCGCGAGCTACAGCTTGCGGTATACTGAGCCTAGGGTGACGGGAGGACGCTAGTTTGTGTGCTCCCGTTACCCTAAGCAGAACTATGGGGAAAAGCCTTAATCCCATAGTTCTCCTTTAATCTTAGCTCTGTGACTTTGACACCAGATGAGGAGAAAGTTCTCAACCTTGGCTTAAAATTTGCCCCAATTAATAATTTAAATAAGTTTGATACCTATATTGATATACAGTAATACCTTGGTTTACGAGCATAATTCGTTCCGGAAGCATGCTTGTAATCCAAAGCGCTTGTATATCAAAGCGAGTTTCCCCATAGGAAATAATGGAAATTCAGATGATTCGTTCCACATCCCAAAAATATTCATATATTATTACAATACTGTACTGTAATATAATAACGTATAAAATATAAAGAAAAATAAACCAATTACCGGTACCTTTTGTGGCCGGTGTGAGAGGGACAAGAGAGGCGATTATTGTGTAGGACAACTTTCACTATCACTAACGGAATCACTGCTATCTCTTGACTCATGGAATCTTTTTCATTTCGTGAAACCTTAACAAGGAATCTGTCCAATGTGACATTGCATTGTCGTTAAACAGACTCATCGCTCGCACTGCTACAGCCTTATTCGGGTGGCGCTTTTCTACAAAATTTTGCTCTTCTTGCAAGACATTTGCTTGTATATCAAAGCGAAATTTTTCAGAAATGTTTGCTTGTCTTGCAAAACGCTCTCAAACCAAGTTACTTGTAAACCAAGGTATTACTGTACAGAAGTTTATTAGAAAATTAAATATAAAAAAATATTATTCAGGAATCACAAAACCCCCTCCATTAAAAGAACCTTTAAAAACTAGAACCTACATCCAGACCACATTGAGAAATAGGTCTGTTTTTAATCCAAAGATTAGCTCTAACCATTTTGTGGAGGTTTTTAAAAACCTAGTTGAGGAGGATGTTAGATCCCTCCAATTTAAATATGCGAAAAATAAGGACTTTATAAACCAGGGCATTGAATCCCTTGAACAGAGAAAGGAAGTGGTTGTTAGACCAGCTTATAAAAGGAGGAGGGGTGGTGATTATTAATAAAGATTATTATGAACAAGGAATGGATAATATTTTACGTACTAAAGATGCTTACAAAAAACTAAAAGGAAACCCAACTAATGTTTTAAAAAAAGAATTGGAAACATTGGTAAATAAAAGGTTTTAAGAAAGATCTTCTAACCAAAAAAGAGAAGGATTATTTAATTCCTTCACTCTGCCAGGTACCCGTCATGTATTTTTTGCCCAAAATTCATAAAAATTTAGAAAAGCCACCTGGGAGACCGATAGTCAGTGGCATCGACTCCTTAGTTGCCAGACTAGGAGAATTTATTGACCTTCATTTGCAACCATTGGTAGGACAGACACTGGCCTTTCTTAAGGATAGTAAAGACGTTTTGAATATCCTTAACCAATTGAAAGGAAACAACGATACATTAATGGCCACCATCAATGTCGCTTCACTTTATACAACAATACCACATCAGAAGGGAATTGATGCAATAAATTGGGCTTTTGTATAAGTTTAGTACATGTGAGAGAGCAGAAGAAATTTATTATAGATTGTATAGATTTTGCAATGTCCAAAAATTACTTCTGGTACAAAGATGACTACTACCTCTAAACCAAGGGAGTAGCAATGGGAGCTAAATTTGCACCAAGTCTGGCCAATTTATATAAGGCAGATTGGGAGGAGCTCTATATTTTTGATGGAATAACACCTAATATCAAACTTTGGAAACGCTATTATTATCATCTGGGAGGGGGATTCATCATCATTCCTATTGTTTTTAGATTTTTTAAATACTAATGATTTTAATATACAATTTTTAGATTTAGATACTTTTAGACATGCGACTAATTATGTAACTAACACTTTTTTCAAGCCCACTGACAACAATGGTTACATCCCCATTTCCAGTTGCCATCATCCTAAATGGCTAAAAGGTATCCCTAAAGGACAATTTACTCGCATCAGACGTAACTGTACAAATAGGGAGGACTTTCTTTCACAAATGAATATCCTGGTGGAGAGATTTAAAGAGAAGGGCTATGGGGATAGAGATCTGGAGAGAGTTAAGAGGGAGGTTCTCGAAGTAGATAGGGATATGCTTTTAGCACCCTCTAGAAAACCTTTCCCTATGTCCTTTATAACTAATTTTTCCTTTCAATATAAAAAACAGGAAGCTATTTTGAAAAAACATTGGTTTATTCTCAAAAAAGACAAAACATTAGGTCCTCTACTCCCTAATAAACCACAAATCATATATAGAAAGGTCCCCATTATTAGAAATAGATTAACCAAAAATATGTCAGATCCCCCTAGACGTAAAGTTTCCTTTTTTGAAGGAAAAGGTTTCTACCCTTGTAGAAAATGTGTCAGTTGCAAAGCCACAGAGACTAGGAAAAAAGTTACTGTGTTTAAATCTAGTGTCAACAATAAAGAATATAAGACAAAAAAGTCACACTAAATTTGTAACTTATTTATTGGAATGTCCCTGTGGCCTCCAATATGTGGGTAGGACCACCAGGGAATTAAGAAAAAGATTGGAGGAACATGTTTACAACATCAAGAGAAGGTTTTATAAACATAGTCTATCCAGACAATTTAGATGATATTACAATCGAGACCCGAAAGGGATGAAAGTCGTGGGTATTGATAGAAGTGAGCCACATTTCTAGGGGATCCAACCTCACCAGACAAATAGAGAAATTAATCTAAGTGGAATTATTAATTGAACTCACTGGCACCCAGGGGTCTCAATATAGACTTCGATTTAAACTGTTTTTTGAGCAACAAATAATTTTCCAATACCTCTGGAGTTATCTATTGCCAACATGGGGTATAGTCCTTCATCTATTTATATGTCATGTACTCTCTACACCTTTATTGTCCTATAAGATCCTAGGTCTGCGTTTAGAATAACCATTTTGGTTCTTGATATGGACAAATTTTATTACTGTAGATTGTTTTCTAACATTAACTGTTTGTTAATTAAACATCTCCCATCGTTTAGAGTTGATTAAGGAGTGGGTTCTTTGCGGTCTCCTGAGATAAAAGGCTGTTAGTGAAGTGTGGGCAGCTGGACCCGCTATCCTCTGAAGACGTCATATTATGAACCGTGTCAGCTGCTGGGCTTGCTGACATCACACTTTGGATCTCTTGGAGACGAGAGGGTTCTTTTATTAATGCTGGCCGGCTGTTATATTTTAAACTGTGAGTTCTCTTTATACATTTCTTCTAAATAAAAATCATGACTGCACTATGAGGATTTCTGTTTGCTTTTAGATGAACGAACTGTGGAGCTTGTTGCTGCCAAATCGCTAAGATCGGAAGGACTTGGAGGTTTTTACATTCCCCGATCTGCAATGCTGTGAGGGCTGCTAGTTTGGCGGCCAGTAATTGCGGTGAGTGCATAGTTACTGGGGAGTGGGTTGAAGCACATGAAGAGCACTATTCTTTTGTGGAAATTTCGGATACTTTTGCACATAAAAAACTTTTATAACTAACAGGTGTTTGCATTGGTCGGGTCTTTTCTGCCCGTGCGTGCCCGCCAATGCTGCAGTGCCCTCCGTCCGTCTTTTTACTACGGGCGGACGGCAAGTGTTTAACCTTTGTCTGGCGGCTTTTAACTGTTGATCCTTTTTTAGCTCACCTGTCTCCTAATTAGCGCAGCTTTATCTATCATTTATCTCTCTGTTGTAACAATCTGTTCCCCTCTTTATATCATGACACAGCCCACTATTACATGCATTTCAGTTCTCAAACATATATCAAATCTACTATAAAGTTTTGAAGTGCCACATATTACAATCATGGGCACTTCATTGTGACATACATCTGTAGCATGCGTGGTAAAGAGCTGAGAGATTGCACAGGAAGATGAAAATCCTGAGTAAAATATTACATACCGGTTTAAGCTCTGTAATATCCCAGTCCAGGTACTCAGCAACTCTCATCATTTGGGTTATGATTCGATCTACCTCCTATTAGAAAAGACCATATCTCAGTACAATATTCAAAAAGATAAAGATACATGATTAGTAGATATATATTCCTGGGATTGATGTTCCTTAAACTTTGCATTTTTTTAAATTTTCATACCACCGAAAAACCACCAGAAAATTCACAAACTCCCATAGGGTTTATTTTCTAATTGTTGCACTAAACATTCCTTAAACATACACTCAATAAACATTCACAAGTGCTTAGCTGTGTTCAGTAGACTGTTAACATTGCAAATTAACATCTACAACTCACACCCCCTAGATTTAATAAACATTTGCAAAACTTTTATGTAATAAGTGTTTACTAAAGCTTTGTGAATGTCTAACTCAGCAAAATGAAGCTCCCTGTCATTAAAGTGTCACTAAACTCAAAACTAAACTTAAATCTTAACAATGCATTCAAGTACCTTAACTATTAAAAAAATGTATCTTATTTGTGTATCACTCGGCTGTAGATCCTCAAATCATCTCTGAATTGGTGCCGACACTGTCCTTCCTTCTGGAGGGGGGGGTCTTTTTTTCCCCATGGTCCCTGTGTGTGCTGTGAAGTAGCCACCGCTCCAAGCTCGCTCCCGTGATGGACTACAATCTCACATTTAGTTTACTAATTTGTATTGAGATTGGAGTCCATCACAGGAGTGAGCTTTAGTACTACTTTAACTATAAACAAAAATGTATCTTATTTGTGTATCACTCGGCTGTAGATCCTCAAATCATCTCTGAATTGGTGCCGACACTGTCCTTCCTTCTGGAGGGGGGGGTCTTTTTTTCCCCATGGTCCCTGTGTGTGTAGTAAAGTAGCCACCGCTCCAAGCTCACTTCTGTGATGGACTCCAATCTCAATACAAATTAGTAAACTAAATATGATGATTTTAGTTCATTGCGGGAGCGAGCTTGGAGCAGTGACTACTTCACAACACACAGGGACCATGAGGAACAAAAGTTGCCCCCCTGCAGAAGGAAGGACAGTGTCAGCACCAATTCAGAGATAATTTGAGGATCTACAGCCGAGCGATACACAAATAAGATACATTTGTATTTATAGTTAAAGTAGTACTAAAGCCTCGGTTTTTACAACATATTTTGCTTGCTAGTGGAAATACAAGCAATAATTACATGTTTACAAGTCTTTTTTTGATATTTTTGTTATGTTTTTCACCTTTGCAATCTGCACTCTCGCCTCTGCTCATTGCCACTGTGCTGCTCTTCCGGCCAGGGAAGCGCACTCCTGATCTGACTAATAGGGACTTCATGTCCCATAAAGCTTTACACTACTTCTCCACTGCGCATGTGCAGAGTCTATATAAAAAAAAAAAGCTATGTCGATCGTCACACATAAAAATCTAATATACAAGTGAACAATTACAAAAAAAAGCAACAAAACTACTGAGCAAGCTGGTGTTTTAATAAAAAAAATTCAGATATTGAAACCTCCGGGATGCTTTGGAAGCCGCTGTCAATCACAAGGGGAGGAGGATGTGGAGGATGGGCTTTGGCATATTCAGTGCGTGCTTCCTGTGCGTGGGGGTGCAGGCAGCACAAGTACACAGAGATGTAGTCCTCAGTACGGGAGCGTGCACTAGAAGTAGACTCCATAGCACAAAGGAGGCACTCAGCGCGTAAGTAAATGTCAGCGGCGAGGTAACATTGAAGATAATGAAACCAAAAAGTCTGCAGACTTGGAAAAGCAGCTGAGGAAGTCAGACTGCACTGCATGTAGATTTTGAAAAATATGTAATATCACTTTAAGGTACTTGAATGCGTTTTTAAGATCTATTTAGTGTCAATTATATATATAAACGTATATATATATATATATATATTATACATACACACACACACGTTTATAAAATGCATATATTTTGACACCTGCTCGGCAGCCTGGTTATCTGTGGTTGTGATATATTTTAAATTGGGCTGCCTAGGGCCATCACAACAGAAATAGTGCGTTGCACTGAATGGTACGTTATAATTTGAATATCAGATCCAAAAATCCTAAAAACAAAAAAAAGGGTTGTTCGCTAAGCCAACTGTGTATCCAAAATCACTGGTGAATAGCACAGATACATCCCAGGATACATCCCAGGATTACTATTCACTATTGAAAATAAGGTTCCTTATCCCGCTGCGTTAGATTGTGAATTAAGCATAATGTCAGTAAACAAGTTTATGTCAAGCAGTATATATAGAAACAAAAGTAACTTACCGAACTGTCCAGAAGTCCATTGCTGTCTTTATCATATAATTTAAAAGTAACTGTAAAAGGATAAAAAGTTTTGTTTTTAGTTTATTCGGCTATCTACATATAATAGAAATAATTGGCAAAACAACTTGCTGCAATGACTCTTTCTGACAGAAAGATGGCAACATTTTACTTTTCACCCAGACACACCAGAACATCGAGATTGCGTGCAGATGTTATTATGCTTGCTTTTTCTGTCATAATTTTACACCATGTATATGTAATGGGTGGAATTAGTAATGTAAAGGGTGGTATTAGTAAAGTGTGATCATGAATGTATTGCAAATGAAAGATCATCAGCTAGTCTTTGTTTAGATACAAATTCTACATAGTTTACAAGAGTTCACACAATACATTTCTTGTTTATTTCAGCATTCACTCTGAGGCCTGGTTCACACTTAGAACATTGCAGTTGTTGAGCTATTTTGCTTTAAAAAAACCACGGGAAAGTCACACAGTTCTCGATGCATAGAGATGTCTATGGATCCAAAACCGCGCGCCATCCACCTGAAAATAGCTCCTGCATCTTTTTGAGCGACAGACAATATCACACGTGCGACACAACGCTTAGGTGTGAACTGTCGCCATTGACTTGTAGAGGTTTTTGTGTTTTGCGGAAATATTGCACCACTTAATCCGTTCGATATAACGCCTAAATAAAGACTATTCGTTCCATTTGTATTCACTCAGGAAAGTACCCATACTACTGTTGGTAGTTAACAGTATAGGACAGCATTTATCAAAATTTTTTTAGTCATGGCACCTAAAAATATGCAAAATCTTGCAAAAAAAAAAATTAGTTCCCCTTTATATTAGGAGCCCCCTTCACATGAGATCTGAGTCCCCCTCTACATCAGGAGTCCCCCTCCTAAAGCGAGTCCTACTTCATATTAGAATCCATTTCACAACAGATCAGTGTCCCCCTTTACACCAGTGGTCCCATTCTCACATGAGATCCCCCCTCCTTCACATCAGAGACATGACGCTGTTTGAAAATTGCGAGGCATACCCGAGGAAGCCAGAAGGCACCCCAAGGTGCCATGGTACCCTGGTTGAGAAAGACTGGTATGAGATTATACGTTTAAATTATTTGTACCATGTGATGTGAACTTAAATGATTTATTTATTTCCTTTAAAAATACACAATTTTTTTCAAATGCTCGTCCTTCTTTCAAACCTTCTTTTCCCACATAGCCTACAGCTCAGCAGTATTTAGCAGTGACAGCTGTGTTAATCTTATATAGCACACATTTAGTTTGGTACCTCTACTATCTATTTGGATGTATAGCATTGTAGAAATGTGAGTAACATTTGCCATTGTTAGTGACTGCATTTTGCATAAAGAAAAGTGGCAGAAATAAAGAAATACAGAGGTTGTGATTGATGCTGATCACATTAGTGGCTGGGCTGGCTCTGGCTTCTTTGCATTTTGACACACTAGATTGTAGATCTGGAAAGTCTAAGTAATCATGATGGCTAATCTAAGCCACAATAATCTAATACATACTTGTCAATAATTTATGAAAGATTTAATATAGTCAGTGATGCCATGATGTATGCTTTCCATATACAGTATGTTTTTTCTTATTTGGAAGCCTGGCTGTAAGCAAGTTGGATCAACATGACCACCAGAGAACTAGTATTTTAAACCTGTCCTCTGCCAATGCAGAGCAAAGCAGCAATTGACTGGCTTTCTATAGTCGAAGAGACTCTTCTGCCATAACAGCTTCTTTTTACCATTCTGCAAATTTGTTTCTTTCTGTACCCTGAGCCGTGCATGCACAGCTCAGTGCACACAGCTGGCATGCTGAAATGAAGTAAAGGAAACAAAAATTGGAGACGGAAGCGCCACTACCTGACGCAATAAAAGTGGTGAAGCAGGGTGAGAGAAAAAAGGTGATGTACTCACCTATGGTAGGTTGATCGTACGTTTTTCGCAATCGGGTTGAGGTGCGTTTAGATGGAGTGGAACAGTAACGGGAAACGGCCCCTTTTTAGATGGGTGGTGTAGTGGTGTAACCCGGTGGAGCAGATGGAGACATAAAAGTAGTAAGGTGAAGTAAGATTGCTGAGCAAAAGAAAGGAGAGATTCTGTAACTCACCGCAAAAAAAGTGAAGGCTGGCTCTCAACAACGACGGTGCGACCTCTGCCATCTCTGCACATCGGCTTGAAAAAGAAGGTATCGCCTTCGAAACGCCTCGTCAGCCCGAACCTAGGACCTGCTGAGTGTTTCCAACACTCCATCTTTCCACCGACACTGTTCGAGCTAACACCTCCTGAACATTGGGCTCTGCCCCCTCCGTCTCTCCACACCTCTATCACCGGCATTGGAAGCTGACAGCTGTAGGACACAGACACGTCGGACTGCAAGGAGGCCCCAGCGTGCATCCACCTCCGCTCCTTCCTGATCCACACACACCCCCCCCTTACAGCAGGCATGTCGCAATATAAGGGGGCATCGTGACACCCCGGCAGCTTCACTGCCCACCCTCCGGCACCACGTCGCTCCCCAGCGCCGGACACCGCAGACGTCCAGCAGGACAGCCGCGCCAGCATTCATCCAGAGAACACCCCACGGCCTTCCATCCAGGCACTACAGGAGCCGCACCCTCGTCGTTGAGAGCCAGCCTTCACTTTCTTTGCGGTGAGTTACAGAACCTCTCCTTTCTTTTGCTCACCAATCTTACTTCACCTCGCTACTTTTATGTCTCCATCTGCTCCACCGGGTTACACCACTACACCACCCATCTAAAGAGGGGCCGTTTACCGCTACTGCTTGCATACTGCCAGCATGCATTTTGAACTGCTGGGTCTCCAGTGCGACCCTGCGCATTTAAGGAGGAGCGGGCTCCCTCCAGGCAAAACTGCATTAAGTAAACCTGTTTCTATGCCCTGCATGAACAATAGGACAAGTTCACTTTGAGAAGGAGAGGTCAGCAATGGCAGGATTCCTTTAAGATTTAAGTAGAAGTATGTGTAGAGGTAGAAGTATGTGTACATCTAAATGGATGTTGTAGGTGGGCTTTTGCTGTATTAAATACAAAGAGCAGACACCATCATTCTCTTGATAGCCAAGCAGAATCTAGAGACCTGATTTCCTTTCTGTTACTCTATACATTTCTCATTGGCTTACAAGCAGACTCCAAAATAAGGAAAACATATATGAAAAGCACTACATCATGGCATTACTCATGCCAATAAGAAATATGTAAAAGCTGAAGGAAAAAGTGCATGCAGTGATATGGAATAAGACTTTAAAATCAAAAAACCAAACATGAAAAGCAAGAAGGATATTAATAAAAAGTATGATAATATAAAAGAGGGACTGGAAACCTCAAGGGGGCAAACCACTCAAGAGCTCCTATTTGTGGTGTTCTGGGAATAATTGCAGAGAGAGGTGGGGCTGAACATAGGACAAGCTCAATCTATTCTCCAAATGCCTTTTCTGTTGGCTCTAAATCTTTTTTGAATGCAAGACTTGTTTTTCAGCTGACTTTACAGTATAATAGCATTAACCTCAAGCTCCAGACAAAATGTTTTGTTTTTTTAATCTTGGACAGAGTGGGGTAAAAATAGAATCTATGCCTAACACAGCGTTCACCGAGCAACCTGAAAAATAGTCCATGTATGCTGTAAATAATGTGTGAACTATATAAATAGTTTTACAAAACATAAAAACTCATCAAAGTAGCTCAGGGACATTTAGATTTATTTGCACACATATTAAACTTTTATTTTAAGCTTTCAAGGTTAATTAAAAGTGATCTTTATATAATTCTAGTAGGTTAAAAACCATAATCCTAGGGAAAATCGAAAACAGTTTAGTACCATAAATAGACTTTTCAATCCACACATAAAACAGCAAAGAATTCCAGTTGAAGTGCAGGGGGGGGGGCACTCAATGCTCTGTTTTCCACCAACAGTGAAAAACCCTGAATCTTACAACCTAATGGGGCTGATGCACTCTTCCCTCGTCCAGGGAAAAGCCCAGAGTGGGCAGGGTGGGAATATGTTTTAGCATCCGCCTGTAGTAGCTGCCAAGGGCAAGAAATAGCAGTGTCCTGGAATGTTCGTGGAGCATGTGTGGGCGACATCAAACTGGTCATACTTGATGATGTGTTTGAAGAGACTGCAGCTGTCTTTCGCGGGACCGGGTACCGGATTTTAGTGAAAAATTGAGCTTATGAGATTTTCTCTCTTGCTATTACTATTTATATATTTTACATATTATTTAAAGCATAGGTAGGCTGTTATTCTAGATGTTTGGTCAGAACATTTTGTAGCTTTGTATTTATTTATCTCAGATATATATACACACACAAAATATGGTATACATACACACAATGTCAGGGCGGATGCTACCTGAGCCGGCTTTTATTCCCCCCTCCCCCCGTTGTTTGTTGTCAAGACACTGGCAGCTGGTCGTCTAGTGTCATTGGTTCCTAGGATGCAGACAGTCAGTTGCACAGCATCATCGCTTGCTAGGTGCTGGTGGCTGGCCGCACAGTGTCACTGGTTGCTATGGTGCAGACAACTAGCTGCACCATAAAAAACAATGATGCTGTGGGGCCTGGGCCTGAACATACACAGGACTGAATATGCACATCAAGTAAGGTCAATCTGGCCTCAGTGCTGCCCTTCCTGTGCCTCCATGAGCACTGCCCTAGGTAGTAACCTTAATTGGCCTGAAGGGCATCACAGCCCTGTAGGCACACACTTATAAGTGTAGGGACAGTTAGGTAGGGATGCACTGAAACCATTTTTTCCAGACCGAGTACAAGTACTGATACTTTTGCTCAAGTACTCGCCAATACCAATACCTTTTTTTAGTGTCATGCAACAGTTTTTCTAAAACAATACAGACTAATGATTTTAGGACAGTGGTGGAGCGCCAGGGCCCAGTTGCAGCTGTGACCCCTGCAAATCCCTAACTCCAAGCTGTAGAGAGACTACAAATCTCAGAAATACATTATATAGAATTGCAGAATACTATCAGCTATAGAGGAGTACAAA